AGCATTGCTTTCTGTAAGGATCTTCAAGAAAGTCATGATGCATTTTTCTGTGTTTTTTTTCTATGCAAAAATATGTCATAACTTTCCTGACAACACAATATTATGAATAAACTTGTATGGATTTCATTTTATTACACCAATATAAACACATACTTTAATTCCATTTAGGCAAAAATTATTTGGAGTCCTTCATATATTAGAACATCATCATTTTTAATCACCTTTTCTTAAACAAAGAAATTTAGTTTTGTGTCAATCAGATGTAAGCAAATTTTATGATGTATCTAAAATTTCCTAGTTAAATCCATGAATACCTGAAAGGATATTTTGATAACAAACAAAATTAACTATGAATAAATAATAGTTATGTTTAGACATATACATCATTTTTATATTTTATTAAATATTTCATGAAGACATTTATTCCAGGGCCAGTCCTATGGCTTAGCAGTTAAGCACTATGCATAGGGAGCCAGATCCCAAATGGTCAGCTGTGATTAAAATCTCAGCCCAGCAGCTTAAAAAACACCTCAGCACCTGTGTGTGCCCAGGATCCTGATAGGATGGGAAAATGGGGGAAAAAGGATTATGGCGTGGTATGATCATATCCCACTGTGGGATGTTCTTACTCTCTCCCTCTGGCATAACAAAACAAAATGACTTTATTTTTAAAAATTCACCTTCTGTGGCAATGAGAAAAGTTCCTTCCCTCAACAATTAATGGCAAACAAAGATGCACTTATATTTGCTTGTCCACAAACAGCAATTATGAAAGATGGAAGACAAGTTGTCAAGCCATTGTGGCATGATGTTGGCTTGACTGGACCTCTCTCCTATTCTACAGGATATGCAATCACAGAGCAAGGGTGAACTCTTTGGTAAAACATATACTGTCAAAACAGCTTTCAAAGTAAATAATGGAGTATTAACTTGAAGCCAATGGGATGAAATAATACTGCTCTTGCTTGCCAAAGACAGTACCTGTGTGTCAGAAAGAGATGACCAGCATGGGAGCATTGCCTGCCAATAATCGGAGCAGGTGGTCATTAGAAGCTTTTGCTAGAAGCCAGATCGTTATCCCCATGAATAGCTTGATAAAGTCCAGGCACTTATTTCTCCCTGATTCAGAAATTATTCCACTTCAAGTTGCCAAGGTACCTGTCCATAATACCAAAGAAGTGTTTTAACTGTTCTCATTTACAGGCTGAGAATGATTTACCACACTTAAAATTTTTCAGTCTGTTTTATTGGATCAACTCAAAATATCTGCTTTATTGGACAAATGAAAAATCTCTGTTAGGTGCTGTCTTTCTTTTTCACAAACAGCATAATTGAAAGCATTGTTTTGGTAGAATCTTCTCAGAAGACCACATAATCACCATTTAAATTAGACCCAATTCATTTTACATTTGCTTATTTTACTGTTAACTTTCCCAGAACAATTTTTTTTTTTTTACAATTAGAACATCTGAATTTTAATTACATTACCATCAAGAAGCTCATTAAAGTCACTTAATTGGCAACATTTCCAAAAAAACCTTATCTGGGTTTAATATATTTTAAAGAGTTACTGTCAAAGTATAATTTCACCATTACAAACAGCTTGGCAACAACATTTGCATAAAGATCTGTCAGTTTCTGAAAAATGCTCAAATGTTGGGAAAATCAGATTCGTTAAGTTGCCTTTACTGAAACAGTCTAGAAATGAAGAAATTGTCATATATATTCATCTGTGTAACCCCTGAAGTACCCAGAATACTGCCATGCACAGCATGGACATTCAATAACTGTTTCATGGGGAAATAAATAACACACTTTATAAACTGGGGTAGTCTTTTTTAAATTTTAAAACCCAAATAAAAGTTCTCGAGTGGTGTTAAAAATACTCACTTACCTGGTATTTCTTTCTCATTGTCCTAAGAGATATTAGATGATCACTCAGAATTTTGAAACCCTTTTTAAGTAGCTTTAAGGACAGTATTAAGAGATTAAAGTTCGAGATTATTTTTAGAAATTAATCTTTTAGTGGTTTTCCTCTTATCCATACTAGACTTTTTTTTGGGGAAGGGTCACATATAGCACTTATAGTACAATTACATTGAATGAATGAATGAATGAAAATCTCGAGCTTATGATATGTAGAGGATGGTTATACCTTGCTGCATTAGAGTGTTGGGATACTCGCCTGTCCCAACCTCATATCAAAGAATAAAATGTGATAATAGATAACAGATAATTAAAATCTAGTTTCTTAGAAATTGAAAAGATAAACTTTTTTTTAATTATCCCTTTTAGTTTGGGATTGTCTACTTAAAATCTCTGCCCTTTGTACATTACACCACTTTTATCTCCCAAGCGTGAAAAAAGAGTCTAGAAAAGCTGTATAGAGGGTCAGCATTAAGAGGCTGGCAGGTGGCGAGGGGATTAAGGGCGCTGGACTCCCACATAGTCAACCATGGTTCAAGTCCTGGACCTGGAGGCTTGCTTTCTCACTTTCTCTCCCTCTCTGTCTGAATCTGTCCCTCTCTGGTCAAATTAAAATTACATAAATAAATAAAGTTAAATAAAATAATTCTTACAAAAAAAGGAGTGTCAAAAATTAAAAACAAGAAAATGGCCACAGAAGTTGCTGTCTCACTCTCCACTAAAACTCAAAGTTTTGCACAGTCTTTTGTATACAGTCAGATTCAATAAGTGTTTGTTGAATGAATGAACAAGTAAGTAAATGCATGCTGAATGTTTTGAGAAAGACCTGGATGATTCTGTTTGAGGAGGGTCAGGGAAAGCTTCACCAACAATGAAGTAGAAAACCTGAACCTTCCATGAACACAAGGCTTTTCTTCATTCACCTTTGGGTGAGCTTCTGTGAGCTACGTTCCAAGACCTGGACAGTGATGCTTCCTCAAGTGTAACTTTGTCCTATGGCACTTTCTGAGCTGATGGAAACATTTTACATCTCTCAATACATCGTCCAGCCTGGAAGCTACTAGCCATGCCTGGCTGTGGAGCAGTGAAATGTGGCTGTATGACTGAAAAGCTGAATATTAATTTTGTTAAATTTTAACTTATTTAAATTTAAATAGCCACGTGTGGTTAGTGACTATCTACCTTATTGAGCAGTGCCACTAGGATTTCACAGTACAGAGATGTGGAAGAACATAGTGTATTTGGAGAACTAAGGGACTATGGAGGGTGGTGTCAGGAGAAGGGTTTAGAAAATCTGCATGGGGGGAGATGGTCATGGGCTCCATGTGTCATACGCTTAATTTTGAACAGTATTTTGTAAATAGCAGAGAATCACTGGTGGTTTCTCAGAGGAGGACAACTTCTAGATTGTCTCTTGGATGTTGGCTCTGTAGTTGGGACCAGCAGATGGCATAATGGCTGTGTCACTGAACTCCCATGTGGTTGACTGTGGTTCGAGTCCTGTACCCAGTGGCTTAAACTCATGCTGAGCGCATGTGCATGCAGGCCCAAGATCCTGAGAGGAGAATGGAGGAGAAGGGATTGTGCACGTGGCCACCCTGCCCACCCCCCCCGCCCCGGGGATGATTTCTCACTTTCTGTCTCTCTGTCTCTCTCTGCCTTTCTGGTGAGCACATGCACCCTATAGCAAAAACCTCTGCAAAAAAAAAAAAAAGAGAGAGAGAGAAGAAATTGGCTCTGTAGCAATGCAAGCAAAAGCTGGAGGCTGGGACCACTAAAAGCATATTGATATTAGAACCCAGTCTTGCTAATTCTGCAAAGAAAGAAAATATGCTGGAGTAATACGATTTTGTTTTTTCTTAAAACTCATAGTAATCTTTTTGTCTCCTTACATAGGCTATTAGGAAAGGAATGTTGGTTACTCGCTTCTTAGTTGCAGGGAGTATGAGAAAACCATGAGGAAATCTCTTAGGTTTGCTTCAGAGGCTGCTCTGTGTGGAACAGAAAAAAAAGCAGAATCCTCTGACCCTTAGGTGATTAGCTATTGTGTGGAAGTAAAGAGGAGCTATAGCCAGTTGTATGTCCAGGACGATATGTCCAGACTCCCTGACCACACAGAGCACACTTCCTGGTGTGAGAGGTGGGACGGTGAGGCCTGAGTGGGAAGCATGGTTTCAGAAAGCAGTAGTGGAGAAAGTGCTTCAGGGTCTATGATATTTGAGGTGTTTTGTGTTGTAACCTTTCAAGCCTGGATCAGTTCTCTGGCTATAAGAAATGAGAGAAGGCGTTAAGAGTGGTCTACCTGTAACAGGAAAGAAAGAACCAAACTAGGAATGGAGAGAAATTAACCAGGTACTTTAGTGCTGGGAAACACATTAATGAACAGTCTCCTAGATCATGGGTGGATGGGAATTCCAATATTCATTTCAGAAATATCTTCTGGTGACCTGGTGTGGATTTTTAAAAAATCTGTGGCAGTCACAGAGATGGCAAGTTGCCCATAGTTTCTCATTGATGGTGACAGTTCCTGGCAGAGCATTGCTTTTAGGCTTGCAGGCATTATGCCTTTTTTTTTTTCTTTCAAAATATAGTTTATAATGTAAAAGTAAAATCCCCCCAAAAAAAACCTCATAGATAAAAAATGTTCCTCTCCAGCTATTCATATCTATTTTATTTGTTTGTTTGGTTTGGTTCGGTTATGGTTTAGCAATCTGAAGGCAATTACTGTTACTAATTCTAAAAATGGATACAAAATAGAAGCATTTCCAAATCTGAGGCATTTCCTAAAAGGAGCCTGAATTCAGAAGTCTGACTTTATCCTTATCAAATGTTTTTTGGCAATGTTGACAATATCTTTGGGAGAAATTTAATAAACCTTTCTTAGAAGGACAGCACAGAGTGCAAACATCTCAAACTTGGTTCAGCTGTTCATCCCAGGATTTGGAGTTCTCATGACAAAATCCAAAACTGTTCCAGATGTCTCCTCCATGACCACCCTAACATCACTTGTGTGCTTCCTCTGGACGAGCACTTCTGTGACACCAATAGGAAATCAGTCAACATAAACACCATGCTAACTCTTGAACTTGCAACTTTATTTTTTTTCCTCAGACAAATGATAAAACACTTTGTATGCAAAGAAAAACGCATGGCTCCCCTTTTCTTCTTTCACAGAGTACTAGAAAATATAAACAATGTCTAGCTGGATTTTTTCTGGGTCCTCCTATTTATTTTTTACAAGCTGTTAGAATAATATTCATTTATTTGTTTATACCAGTATCTTACAACATAAAAGTAAAACACGCAAATGATCTGAGGCATTTATATGAAGTGTTCAGATTGTAATACAGGCTTATATCAGCACCAGTATTTAGTTTGGCAAAGAAAAACATTGCTTTAGGAAGTGAGTCATGTGGGTATACAAGTGGTTCGTGGACTTGCCGGATATGCCGTGGTTCTGGTCAGAGTACCACTGAAACACAAAAGGAAAATAGTTTATTTCATGCCTGCAGTCACAAAATGCACCTGGCTTTAACTTTTTTTGTGCTCTCAAGACCTGATAATTTTTCTAATATTATGGGGAAATTCTACCTAAGGACACTTGAATAAATAAAATGGCTTACATGTAGACATTTGGAGTAGGAAGAATTAAAGAACCTTTGTTAACCTCTACTACCACTGTATATCTTTAAACTAATTTTTTAGAGCTTGGTGGCTGAGTTTTCACAGGGGTCTACCAGGGAATCAGAATCCCTTGGAGAATCAGGAGGTGAAGTTTGTAGAATTGTTTATATTAAGGGGGCTAGTTCAGGTGGCATAGTGGCTTAAGGCGCTGGACTTCCAACCATGGTTTGAGTCCCAGACCTGGTGGCTTCCTTTCTCACTTTCCCTCTCTTTCTGGTCAAACTAGAAAATAATAGCTAATCAAGTCAAAATAAAATAATTCTTTAAAAAAAGAACTGATTATGTTAGGTCTACTACTTGGCTTCTGTGAAGCTTAGCTTCTTCATTTGAGACAACAAAGGGGTTGGATTTGAATTTCCCTAGAACTCCTTGTAGCTCAAAAATTTCATGAGGTTTTAAGCCTGTGAATCTAAGTTATCTCTGTTGCATAAAATCTGCAATATGATGTATCCACATATAACCATAAATACCCTTTATAGAAGTTAAAAATATCATTTTCATCAAATGAGAAGTGGTATTACCATGTTATTGACAGGGTGCCAGTACGATTGTCTTCACTAAATGATAGTAGCTTGGCCATGCTGTGATGCTATATATTCAGTAAGTCCAATTTACTTGGGGGTCACAATAAAAAAGATCAGAAAAATGTCACCTCATCCTTTGTAAATGATGTTAAAAAATTTTTCCAAAAGATGAGGGGGGGGTGTCTCCTTTTCTGGATTCATGATCAATAAAAGTAGCTGAGGGAGAATTTGTGTTCACTGAAGAGGGGAAAAGGTAGCTACCATGGATTGGTCCCTTTCTTTGGCTTTTGCCTTATTCTCTGTTTCCATTTTCCATTCTTCATACAATCTGAATTTCACATTTAGCCCATTCACTCAGTAAAAATGTGAGCTTCTGTGATAGGCCAGGCATATGCCAGGTATATAGAATACATAGATGAAAAGATATTTTAACCCTAAATGGAGCTGCGTGACTCCTGGGAGTCTTTAAAGTTCCTGACAGCATTTTGCAATTGCTTCTTACTGAATAAGCAGAATCTTCCAGCTGCTTTAGAATGCTCAGGTTTTGAAGGAACTCTAAGCATATAACTACCTTTATATACATAGGATTTCAGACTGTTGGCATTTGAGCTTGAAGACAACTTAATCTTATGAACTCCTTTATTTTATATGATTCCATTGCAAAGCCCAGAGGTTATCTGGCTGATCTGGGATCTTTCAGGAAATTAATGAAAGATCTAATATTCATTTGTAATGTTCTGTCCAATCTACCTTGCAGCCTCTTTGTCCGCTTTTACTACAACAAAACAAAACAAAACAAAATAAAAGAACTTCCATTTAGGTTAAGGGTCTAAGGCCATGAACGTGAGTGAAACAAAATTAGGTACCATTGCCTGGAAATCCACTTGTGCATTAACCAGAGCTTTTGCAATCTGTGCTGAGTTTTGAAAGTGCACATTATCTGCAACAAAGAGAGAGAGAGTTAAAGTGCTGCTAAATACCAGAAAGCAGAGAGTGACAATGTACTGCCTGGAAATGAACACCAACAATTATCTAGTCATGCAGTTGACATTGTCAGCAGTGAGTAATCACACTCAGATATGGAAATGTCCCTGACTCCTAGGTACTGACCCTGAGCACAGGCATAGGAGGATGCTTAATGTTTCTTAAACAAAGTGATGCTGGCTCAGTATTTTTATGTGTAAGAGTCTTGCTTAAACCTCACCATCTGCTGTTCCGTGGATGAGAAGATAGTCTACATTTCTGAAATATTCTGCTCTTGCCATCACAGTTGAATTCTGGAAAAGAGGAAAAATTAACATTTTAGTTGCTGCAAGTTCTAATAGAAAACTAGCTAAATCATTGTGCAATGGACTTAGCACCAATACTGAAATTATGTATTGCTTTGGTTGATAAATATTTAAGAGTCAGAGCAACACATTTTCATCATCATTTGCATTACTTCCATCTGATTCTTAGTTTGAAAAACGGAAAGTTTATGTGTCATATGTTACATATGAGTGAGACCTTAGGCATAAATGATGCCCGCTCAAGCTGTGAGTGGTTGGGGGATGGGGAGGAGGATATGGAAAAGGGAAGTTAGGGAAGGGAAGAAGGGGAAAGAAAGAATAGAATCCAAAGAAAAAAAATCCACTACAGTATGTGTTTTTCAGTTAGCAAGAAATCATCATATTTACTTGGGAAACCAAAATTAAAACTCTAAATTCTAAATTACTCCTTTAAAAAATTGTTAAGACATTTGAAATAAGTTAATGACCTAAATAAAATAGAGAATACTTACTTTATAATGCTCAAGATTATCATCTTTTGTTGGGAAACCCATGAATCGTTCTGTGTAGATAGATGCTATAAAACCGATTAGAATAAGATATTTACATGAGATACATATCATTTCATTAACTAACAAGACCTCCTAGTTTAATAACTGCTCCTCCATTCTCCTGTGTGGAGCTGTTGAGGTAAATTCTTGCCTTACTTTACTGCAATTTTTGGCCTCAAAGAATGTGTGTCATCTCTACAATCAGCCTCAGTCAGGCTAGAGAAGCAGCAGAGAAAGAAAGGACCAAAACAGGAGCATCTACACATTTTCTTTCTAGGGCTGGTCTTAATCTTTTTTTTTTAATTTCTACCTTCCTGGGGGGCATATTGAGGTAGATATAATCCCATAGAAAAATCTCATTGTATTTTAAAAGAAATCATAAAAGCCTCTACTCATAGTACTTTTACTGGAGTCACGTCATCTGTAATGAAAATATGTGTTGCAAATTCCCTCCTTCCCAATACATACATGCACACACATGCATGCACACATGCACACACATGGGTATCTTAGTGTGGATTTCCTGCAATAGAGAGGACTTAGATTCACAGACTTCATTTTCTGAAGAAAAATTTCCTACAAGTCACAATTGCCTTATTTCTACTCCAACACAGGAAGAGGATAGACGAAAGCTAATTGTTGTACAATTATTATAGCTACTTCCAAAGAACCATCCTACATTGATGGTATTCATAAAAATCGGCACACATGGGAGGAAAACTCCCCAAACGTATTTTTTGTTTCTCTGACTTCTGAAGCAATGGAGCTGGCAGTTGCAAACTGTGACGTAAAGGTGAATTGCTTGGCTCCTAACTGGACTTTGCATAAAATGTGATTATAAGCCAGTTATGCTGCCTCTTTGTGCCTGTGAAAACACAAAGTTAGCCCTGATTTTAAGGTTTTGGCCCAACAAAGACTCAGGGTTTCTGGGAGAAAATAAGCTACCTTGGATTATGGGAGAGTCTCTCTTCACTCCTAATATTTCTGTGATTGTTACAAGATGATTATAATAAATCATATAAACAGTCCCAATTATATGTTACATTTTCCTAGTGATGCTGGGGTGAATTTTACTGCATAATTTCTTTTCTTAACAACCACAAATATAATTATGTGCTAAATGTTTTCACGGCAACATTTATGAAATGTTTCCATACCGTAATATTCCCAGCTGGAGACCGGAGCCACTGCTATTCCACATTTGAAAAGACCAGTTCCAGATGCGAGGGCCAGCGATGAAACATACCCTCCATAGGACTGCAGAGACATTGGTATGAGTCAGTCTCAGATTTACTTTTGTAACCTCTCTTCCATAATTTTAAAGCAACTCTACTCACAATCAGGACTGAAAGGAGCTGGGGGATTTGGATAAGGGTAGGTTAAATGTTTACCTTGCACCCTCAGCAGCAAGTTCCCCCAGACCTAACAGTAATTTCATTCTTAATAAATTAGAAGTAATTGTTGTGCTGAATATACTGATACCTTGTTTAAGAGAGAAACATAATTACAATCTTTCTACAAGAAAAAAAAAAGTCCCTTTTTCCCCCGCCTCTATGTTTTTCCATCTAGAACTTTGCTGGAAAAACAAACAAACAAAACAAACACAGGATTTCACTTGAAGGACATGTACAGAAAAAGGAAATTATTCCCAAAATATAAATGTAAGACATTTTTTCACAGTTTACAAAAATCCTATGAGACAGAGCTTGTATCTATGTACTTATTTATTTATCTTCATAAGAAAACTCCAAAAGAAGGACATAAAAACATTTTGGATAATTTAAGACATGGCCAGAGTTTGTGTATGATGTATTACATATTCTTTTTTGAGGATTTCTGTCATAGCAGCTTAAAAGAGGAAGTCACTAGTATCTTTAAACTCCTTATATTTCTTCCCACAGTTTAATGGAAAAGCAAAGAAGCACAAAAGAGATACACATTGCAGAGTCAGGAGGTTTAGATCTTAGAAAATTCCTTCCAGGAGGATTGTACCTGTGATCACCGAAAGAGATCTCTGGCCATGTCATGTGGCAATTTAAACCCTTTTCTAGACAGATTAAGCAAGACTTGCTTCTCCTGGGAACGTGGACTATGCAGTCAATTAGACATGACAAAAAAAAAAAAAAATGCACAGGATTAGGAAGTGCTTCTTGGTGTTTATTCTGAGGGGACAGTCTGACTCTTCGATTAAAGCCAGGCCTTGTTTGTAGGACCTTATTACAACAGATTTCTGGGAATCACTTTCCTCAAGTCAAGACACATCATACCATCTCTACCACAGAACAGTCCATGTTTAGAAAGGAAATACAAGTGAGAGTAAGAGAAGATAGAGTGAGCGAGGGAGTGGGGAGAAGGCGATGGCAGCAAGTCAGGGGCCATGGTCTGTTCTAAACACAAAATCAGAGAATAAGCTAGACAACCTTAATGAATTCAACAATCAGATGAAGAATTTTGTTTTTTCAGTGTACAGTTTTATGTTACCAGCTCTGGGAAATTTTATTGAGGACCGTTGGCAACAAAACACTGAAAACAGAGATGGCTCCAATTATACCACGACCTCTTTTTATTGTGCTTGGAAGAGAATTAAACCATGTTTTAATAGGGAAAAATATACTTTAAAAACTGAAGGAATATTTGTGCTTAAAATTATTTCTGGGAGTGAAGATGATCTAGTTCAAACTTCTACTTATAAAAATAATTTGTTTTGATTGTTAGGTTAGCAGCAACTACTATTAAAATGGAAGGATTTTCCTTTCTTTCTTAATTAAAAGTTCAAATAGAGCAGAGTGAGCCTGAGACCTTTAGAAAAATCATTATTGCTTATGGTTTTATTGGGAAAATGTACTCATTGCATGAAATGAGATTTGACATAAAAAGACTTTGTGTACAATAAAAAGACATTTTTAACATTTCTGTTCAAAATATTAAGAATCATTAATTTGTATCTACTCAGTGATTAGGTTATTTTATTTAACAAAAAATGTCCTGTCTCCAGAATGAGTACGATTTTTCTTTTGGAATTTGTAAAAACAAAAGCTACGGTATGCACAGTACAACAAAAGAAGGTGTATTTTAAATTCTCAGGCAGCTTGGAAAAACTATTCCTATTGTAGAAATAAAGGGGGCGGGGTAACCTGAGTTGTCTTTTTTCTGCTTCCCTGTGAGTGGGGCTCCCAGGCAGAGTGGGTGGCTGCCACACGAAAAGAACCCACAGAGCAGATTGGCCATGAGAATTCTAGAATTTTGTCCTTTCAACTTAGATGCCTTGCCATTTTGTTTAAATGAAGGATATCTTTAAAAGCATGCTTAGAAGGCCACAGAATTTTGCAGGAGGATTTATGGAACAAATCTTTATGGAACACTCTTATTTGAGCCATAATGTATACTGGAACATTTTACTCCCAGGCAATAATACTAACTAACAAATGCTTGGATAGCCAGGATTGTTTCAATGGTCTTTGTTGTTCTTCACAATCTGTCTCCCTTCTCCTGCCTACACCTCCCCTTCTCCACCCTCCCCCTTGCTCATTGGTTCTCTTGATGCTCTTTGAACTCTCCAAGCATGATCTAGACCCAGGATGTTTGCAAATGCTGTGAACTTCTGCCTAGAATGCCCTTTCCTCAGAAATTAGCATGCCTCACTTCTTCCCCTCTTTTAAGTCTTAACTCAAACATCACTTTAAAGAAGTCTTCCCTATCCTTCTAATTTAAATTTATACCAACTCTGTACCATCCCCCTTTTGTTTTATCTTTCTCTGTGGCACTTATAATAATTTGATATTCTACATACTTTTTATTTATCTTGCTCATTTTCTTTCTCCTCACCTATTCCCATCTCTCAAAGGTAGAGGCATTGTTGTCTGTCTTGTCAATGAATAAATCCCTAGCACTGAGAATAGGGCCTGACACAGAGCAGCAATCAAATAAACATTTGCTAAACAAATGACTTTGCTACTAACTCATCTAATCCTCACAGTGACCTGGTTTGGAAATTATTGCTGCATTTCATAATGAGGAAACTGAGGCTCCTAATGAATTTACAGTGGCTATCGAGTCAGTAAACAGCAGAGGGACTCAAATCCAGGACACCTGACTCAGTAACTCATGTCATCCCTGTATCTCTATAATAGAGCCACCTCTTTTGGAAAATTTTAAGTTCAAAGTCTCATGGAGTCTCATTAGAGGTGCATTTGTCCTACTTACATTGTTGATCACACATAGCAATTCAAATTGCTTATAATTAGTCACTGGAAGAGAAAGGAACTAAGATTAAATCATGAACTAATGCTTATTCAACACCACCTGGCTAGGCCTATATTAACAAAGAAAAGCCCATAAATGAGGCTGTTATTCTAATAATTTAGGCAAAACCTTCACTTCTCTCCAATTGTTAGAATAATTGCTTCAATTCTGTATTTCATACCAGGGTTTTGCAACCTGGGCAGTATTGATGTTTCAGGGTGAATAATTCATTGTTTTGGGGGGCTGTCCTGTGCACTGTGGGATATTTAGCAGCATCTCTGGACTCTACCCACCAAATGACAACAGCACTTCCTCAATGTGACAGCCAAAAATGTATCCAGACATTGGCAAGTGACCCTTGGGAGGCGTTATCACCCTAGATGAGAATCAGTGTGAAAACAGATAGTCCTTAGGCAGCAGGTAGGCTCAATGTGGACATTTATTTTTTTAAAGAATTATTTATTTCATTCCAATTATTATTATTTAACTTGACCGGAGAGAGAAAGAAAGGGAAAGGGAGAAAACAAACCGCTAGGTCCAGGACTCAAACCGTGGTTGGCCATGTGAGAATACAACGCCTTTAACCACCATGCCACCTCTGGCTCCTCAGTGTGGATATTTAATAAGCAGCTGAAACCAGGGCTACTGGACTTTTATTTGTTTGAGCCAAAAAAATAAAAGGGAAAGATAATCATACTTTTTTTCTACTTCTTGGTCTGGAAAATAAAGAAAAAAGTAAAATGTCCACCTATTGGTTTATTGACTATAAAAATATTGCCAGGCAAGATATGGTGTATTTCTCAGACCATTGAAGTATCTAATACTTTAGGGAAAAATATACCTTCTTCCCTGATGTGGAACGCAATGACAGTTAAATTGCCTATTCTCAATGTCTTCTTTTCCACCTCCATTTTGTTCTGCTTATTGTACAGAGAAAGGTACACAGAGCTATGACTTCTTCCCAATTGCTACTTCACTGCCTAAATTCAGGCCTTTGCTTTGGTCTCAGTGTGACTCATCTCCTAGCCCCTGGGCCCATCCTCTTTCCTACCTCAGGACATCCTCCACTTCTAGCCAAGATTATTTTTTCTGAGACACCAATGCCACTCTTTTTTGATTTCATGAGCGCTTCTCAAAGAGGTACCCATGAGAAATACTGTCAAGGTGTGGGGTTTATTTTGGTGAAAAAGGGATAAAATGCTTATTGGTAATACTATGTTAAATAAAATTTAACAGATTTATTTACTAGTCCTTTATAGAGCCTATGTAAACTACTGTGTAGAATTTGTGATTTAACAAATTATTGATCATAGATGGTTTCACTGGAAAATATCCTAGTGTTAGTGGGATACACTTAGGTAATATTGATTTACAGAATTAAATTTAGTTTAGACAACATCGTGCTTGACATGGCCAATTATTATGCTAAACATTAGAGAAACAAAGTTAAAACAAGACAGTCTTGAGCCAACAGGTGGTGTATTGGTTAAGATACTGGACAACCACTTGGCTGACTGTGGTTCGAGTCCCAGACCCAACATATGTGCATGTATGCCCAAAATCCCAACAGGAGAATGAAAGAGAAGGGATTGTAGCATGGCCATCCCCCCCGGGAGGTGGTTTCTCACTTACTATCTCTGTGTCTCTGGTAAGCATAGGCACCCTAGAGCAAAAATCTCTCTTAAAAAACAATAATAATAAAAAAGACACAGTCCATTCCTTGGATGAGTTTACAGCCTTGTGAGAGAAATCAGTAGATAAAATAAAACATAATTGCAGTAAGAGAAATATAAAGAGCTATTAGAACACAACAAAAGCAGTATTTATATCTTACAGGACAAGCAAGAGTTTTCCATTTTGGAATGAGGAAGAGGTGGAGAATAGGAGAAGAGAATGGGCATTGGCGGTGCAGGGAACAGCGAGTACAAAAATCATGGCACTGCTGAAGCACTTCTCTTGTAAGCTGTGGAGAGAAAAGGAATGTGAGGAGAGCAGAAAAGTTAAGTTGGACCCAGATGGCAAAGGGCTTGGCATACAAGGAAATACATTTTAACTTTATGGAGTAAGCAATGTGGAGCTCTATAAAATATGTCAGCAAAAAAGAAACATGGTAATACTGTGTTTTGAAATGATAACTTCACTAGCAACATTGGAGCTTGTGAGGTCAGCTCAAGAAGGAAGGTTAAGAAATAATTGGGTTAATTTTTACTGTTGCTACCCAACCTATGGTCCATGAACCAAAAGCATCAGCATTATCTGGGATCTTGTTAGAAAGGCAAACCTGGGAACCAGCAGATGGTGTAATGGTTACACCACTGGACTCCCATGTAGTTGACCATGGTTCAAATCCTGGACCCGGCAACTTAAACTCATGCCAGGTGCATGTGTATGTATCTCTCTTCTCTCCTGAGAGGAGAATGGAGAAGGGATTGTGATGTGGTCATCCCCTCTGGGGGATGATTTCTCATTTTCTCTCTCTCTCGCTCTCTCTGTCTCTCTGGCAAGTACATGTGTCCTATAGCAAAAATCAATGTTACATAATAAAAAAAACTCCCCAAAAAAAAAAAAAAAAAAAAAAAAAAAAAAGGCAAGTCCTCTGCCAGAGCATTGAGGCAGAATCTCTGATGATAATAAGGCCCTGGAAAGTTTGTCTGAACAAGCTCTCTAGGTGATATGTATGCAAGCTAAAGTGTGGAAATGTCTAGTTTAAATTGCATATAAAGAATATCAAAATAAGGTCAGATCAGTGGAGATAGTGAAGACACACGTGTTTGAAAGTAGAATTGACAAACTTATTAACCAACAGAATATTAGAGTCAGGGGTGGGAGAAGTTGAGAATAGGATGATTAGGTGTATGGTGAAGCTTAAAATGAAGATTAAGACTTATTTTGAAGTACATGGTAAAAAATTCAGCTTAAGGCTTGTGTAAGATAATGACCACAGGCACTTGAAATTTGTTGCTTCAGAGAGGTGGGTGTTAGCAGCAGGATATGGCAGTCATCATCATCTTGGAAACCACAAAGATTACCCAAGGAAGTGAAAGGCAGACCCACAGAAACACCAACATTCAAAGAGTACATGGAATACCATAATGGAATGCTAGTGGGGACACAGGAAAGTGAAAGAAAGGTGCCACAGAGCCACGCTCAAAGCCCATTTTCCTTTATGTGGCCTAAAAGGCCCCCTTTTCTCTGGCTACCTGTGTATCCTGATTCATTTCCCACTCTTGCCTCATGATAGTCTAAAACTTTGGAAGTTTCAGGCATTGCTCACCAACTCAGAATGCTCACACACAGCATGCTCTTTCTTATCTCAGGGCCCCGCTGTTTTTACTCTGTCTGGAGTGCTCCATTGTTAAGTCACCAATTTCAAATGTTAACTCATTTTTTTTGAATCTTTCTTTAGCTCCCACAGCCATAATAAACCATCCTTCTCCCTCCAAACTCCACAGCAAATTACATATCTGGTAATGCTTTAATAGTGCTGAACCATTGCTTCTTTTTGTTGTCTGCTTTCTCCACAAGAGAGCTAAACTATATCTTACCCGACCTTCTATCCCTGAAGAACCTAATATAAGAAAGACCTAGTTGGGGACCAGCAGGTGGCATGGAGGTTAAGGTATTGGACTGCCTCATGGCTGATTGGGGTTCAAGTGTAGGACCTGGTGGCTTGCTTTCTCACTTTCTCTCTCTCTGGAGTGTACATATCCCATAGCAAATTAAAATATAGTAATAGTAATAAATAAAATTAAATAATACTTCAAGAAAGAAAGACCTAGTTAAAAATGTACTACATGGATCAAAGAATGAATCAGTGATCAGTCAGGTGGATTAATACATATGGACTAGTCTTAAATCTGAAGGAGGGATACAAACAATGTAGAATTAACTTTGTCTCCTTCTGTTTCCTTTTGGTAATTTTGGGTCTGTGTAAATGTTGTATTCTTTGGCATTCCACTTGTGACATTCTTCTTTCAAACATGTTCTGAGTTTACCTCATCGTCACCGCTATGTTGGAAAGTAAAGGAGGTCCAATATACTATTTTTTTCAGTGGAGGTGGTGGAAATCTCTCACTGAAGAACCTCAGGCTGATAGGGATGTATTTTTGGGGTGATGAGAATAATGATTCTCTATCAAACTAATACCTAGAATGTTCTGTAGGTAGAATAAAAAGTTCTTATGTGCAGTTATTTCAAAACCTGTAGTTCAAGGACAATTCTAAGAGAGACGTTAATGTAAGTGTTCAGCTTGAAATTTGAATCTTTCAAGGATTTACTTCAGGAAATTTCACAAAAATGAATAGTAGGAAAGGTTTTATCTAAATTTCACTATAAAAATATTCCACTTATTTCCACCCATTTGAATTCCATTCTGTTTAGATATTTAACATTTGATAGTTTTAAGAAGGACCAAATGGCTTGAAGTAACAACTTTTTCCAAATTCCTAGCAGCCCTTCATCTGGTCACCGAGCTGAGAGTTGAGCTGAATCTTGCAGATTCCCTTCAATATTGGGTTTAATTCCCTTCATCTTGTACAGGCCGTGCTCAGAGAAAACAGCCAAGAAAAACAACCAAGCTAAACCGGCTGCAAATTGACTTGCAAATGTACAAATTCAGACCAAAAAGTGAAACAGGAACTTCTTTGAAGGGTAATTATCATAATTTATAATGGGCAAATTTAAACTCTTTCCAATATTTCTCTAAACTTTCCAGTGACTTCATTGCCCATGACAGATAAGTATTGCCACTTCCTTTCAACGTGTGTTTTAAGAACCTGCACACTTCCTCAAACGTGGGAAATTATCTCCATGACCTATAAGTAGGAAACTAGATACTTCTCTCCAGTTGGTACAAATTAATGTTAGGTCTAGTACAACAACTTGATTGCCAGAGGGGAGAAAAAAAAACCAGCCAAGATGTGACTCTCCTAAGCTTGAAACTAAGGACTTTTTATTCTAAAAGTTCCTGTAATTTCAAATTTTAGTTCAGTTTTTCATAAAAATAAAATATAAAATACGAGACATATATTTAACTTTAAAATAACAAAGGGAACTAAACTTTTGATGAATATGGTTTGGTTCAGTATACTATCATCCAGTACAAAAGAATTAAGTAAACATATGTCAGTTATGAATTAATGTGCTATATAGGAAGGAAACGAAATGATTTTTTAAAAAGGAACAAACACTTAAAATCACCACTTTGAAGCCCAGATTATCCCAATTGACTGTTTCCATTGACAGATTAAATTATGTTGCAACATTAACATTTCATGAGAAGCTTTATAAGCGAACACTGGAAAATGATGATTGCCGAACCGAGTAACAGAATAAAACATAAAACATAAAGCAACTCACCCAGCCCCATATGGCTATTCTTTTGTCATCAATGAAACCCATTTCTATGAATTTTCTGAAGTAAAAGAAACAAATTTTTTGAATTTTAAGTATGTACACATGACATTTACTTCATTACACAAGCATATTTAATCCAAAGATTTAATAGAAATGCTACATTTTCTTTGTTTAAACACATGCATAATAAGGGTGCATTTACAAATAATTAAAATAATATCATCATGCTTTCTGTGAAGACTAAAAGGATCTTCCTAGATTCTATTGTACAATTATTGAGGAGAATTCTCAGAGCTGTAAGAGTTGGAATCTTAACTGTGTGGGTGAATTACCTGAGATGCAGAGAAGTCAAGAGACAAAGAATTAGTGGCAGCACTGGGCAGGACCAGTGTTCCAACTCCCCAGCTTTTGAAAAGATTTTTGCTATCTTAAATTTTATGAATTTCTTTCTATTTTATTTGTTTAGTTGTTAATGAGAACCAACATTTTATTTATAATCACATTTAAGAAAAAATGCCTCTCTCTTGTGTTTCATACTTCACCTCTTAATCCATCCTGCTATGAACAATTATGAGGGGTTTTCAAAAATTTATGAAAAATGCATATTTTGAAAAAAGTATGCATAGGGACCAGCAGTTGGCATAATGGCTATGTCTCTGGACTCCCACGTGGTCGACCATGGTTCGAGTCCCAGACCCGGTGGCTTAAACTCACACTGGGCGCGTGTGCGTTTGTGCTCAAGATCCTGAGAGGAGAATGGAGGAGAAGGGATTGCGGTGTGGCCATCCCCCCTGGGCGGGTGATTTCTCGCTTTCTGTCTTTCCGTCTCTCTGTGTCTGTCTGGCGAGTGCACGCGCCGTATAGCAAAAACCTCGCCAAAAAAAGAAAAAAATAAGTATGCATAGATTTAAAAACTTTATACCCAAATCAGCTCCATTTAATTCTATTTTTCCAAGAACTTTTTGAAGTCCCCTTGTACATGGGTCTTTAGAGATATGAAAACGAGTCATTTTAGTTTTATCACAGAAGAGCCTCCATTTGAAAACTATTTTGAAAATAAATGCTTTTTTTAGGAAGAAGGGGCTATAAAATAATCTTTATAAAGCCCTGAGAGGGGCCGGCAGGTGGCATGGTGGTTAAGGGCATTGAACTCCCACATGGTTGAACATGGTTCAAGTCTCAGACCTGGTGCCTTTGTTTCTCAGTTTCTCTCTGTCTCTCTCTGTCTCTCTCTCTCTCTCTCTCACTCTGCCCCTCGCTAGTCAAATTAAAATAAATAAATAAGTAGTTAAATGAAATACTTTTTTAAAAAAAAAAAGTCATGAGAAAGCCTCAAAGTTGATCCCAAACATGTATTTCAGGATAGTGCATACCATGTCCCCCTTAAAATTGGTGTTCTAGAGCAATTGTGATTTATTTGGGAAACGGTTTGATAAAAGTACAGGAGACTCTCAGAGAACTAAAGCAGTGGTAGAAAGAAGCAAACTGGATGAGCCATTACAGAAGCCACTGTATGCAACTGTGGTGGGAAGGAGGGCAGGAGAGCAAAGGAAGACTGACAGCTCCAGAGAAATATGGTTTGTTGCCATTGTTCCCTTTCTTCACTAATATTAATGCCCTTTCTCATCGGTTCTTCTCTGGAAGTAAAACTGGGTAATTTTCATTAGTTGAATAATGTAATTCCTTAAAGGGATTTCACAGCAACCATTTTACTCATTGCATTGATTCAACATGCATGTTTCTGATGCATAGAGGAGTTGGGCAAATGCCCGGTACAAACAGATGGGAAGAGGCCCCGTTAGTCACAGCTTACCCGACACTGATTCTGAAGGACACTGAGGAGTCTACAGGGAAGAAATGCAGTAGCAAGTGGAAATTTGCTACCTGTAAGGATGCTGCTCATGGTAAAGCAGAGAAAACATGCAGCAAATTGTGGCACTCCAGCAATTCTTCCACAAACTCCAAAAACCAAATGAAAGAAAAGGTTCACGTTCTTGTTAAAAAAAAAAAAAAATCTTGCTGCTATGCTTGAAGATAGTTCTGAGCCATAAAATCAATCATGATTTTATGATTTCCCAGAAGCTAGCAATCATATTGCCTTGCATCTGGGGTAAAAAGCAAATAGCAGGTGATACAAGGGAACAGGAAATTCTTAACAGCTCCCTTCCTACGTGGATGCTGAAAGGATGACATTTACAGGAAATGATAGTGCAGTAGTTAACATGAAAATGAAACATTAACACTTCATGTGGCAGGACTAGGTTAAAGGTTAGCTAGTTAATCTGAGCCCTTCCAGACCAACTAGGCTCTATAAAGCTACATGCAAATTCTGAAGAGTTTCCAGGAGGTTATTGAAATACTGTTGATAACATGGTTAAATAAACAAACTGTTAGTAACAAATGAAAAGGATCTTTTACTAATTTTGGAGGTTAGATTCGATGTTTTAATTTTTCTCTCATAAAAAGTGGCCTTGGGTCAAAGTCAATCTAGAATCAATTATTCTAGAACCAATTAGTATCCTATTTTAGAAATATTATTCTTAATATCATCTATAACTGTGATAGAGCATTTTTTCCATATCATTCTTCCCCACTCCTAAGCCTTTAGTTATATAAAATTTCAAAGTTGTGGGAATGTCAAAAATGCCAAATAGATTCCAAATGAGCAGAATTTGACTCTCCAACCACGAATGGTCTCACATGGATACCGTTTGCAGAGAAACCTGAAGAAAGCAGGTCCTTGCTTCACTTATCTTTGTGACCCCACCAGTGTTTCCTTTGAAGGATCCTCTTTTGTATAGGCAAGAATCACGAGGTTATATAGCTTTCCTTGGCCCCCACTTTGTTTTGTTGAAATCTATTTGTTGGCCTTGACTAGTATTTACTGTTGTTTCCAAATAAATACATATGATTTTCTTTGGGGATGCAGAAAATTTAGCCAGATTGCATTTTATAAAAGATTCAAGGGAGGGCTGACTCCATGTTGCAGTGGTAATGTGCTCTTTAAGACAAGCCAGATCCCACAGGGTAACTGCTTGAATACCCAGCCAGGTCAGCCTTAAACATGTTCAGGTTCCTATGGGCGGGTGGACTGGGAAGGGGGTCACAGCAGAACCAGCCCCTGTGGAGGGCTGTTCCTTTCTTTCTTTTTCTCTCTTTCACTTTCACATGCATGCACACACTGTAGCATGAATAAAGGGAAACAATAAGGTTTAGAGAGGGTACATATTTAAAAAAATAAAAAAGATTCAAGGGGTCACATTTTCCTCTGTAGGGGAACATGTAAGGGCTACAATGGAGGGATTAAAATCTCAATTCCTGCTCAGCTATTTGGTGTCTGGTTTCTAAAACACTTCTTTGGGAGACACGTGTTTGGATAATCCCAGGATTATCATTATAGGTTGATCCTTTTTAGCCTTTGTTTTCTCAAAGTATTGGGTTCCAAGGCTTCTCTTTCACTTTTGCATAATAATGATTTCAAGCAAAACTAAGGCCAGTCATGGGTGCCACCACAGTGTTCATTCTAAAAGCAAATGTGCTTCTCTTGGCCCTATAGCCACCTCACATCACTGAGGTGTTTACTAGAAGTTTCAGCTCACAGCAGCGCTGTCCCCTCAGCGTGGCTATGGTTTATACACTTGTACCAAATTGCAAATTCTCTGAAAGCAGAGACTGTAAATCACACAATTTAATACAGAGTAGACCCCAATGGCATGTATTAATATCTGATACGTTGTTGAATGGTTGAGTAAATTGGTGAACACCTAGCAGAAAGACTTTCTTCAGATTCCATTCTAAAAACAGTTCATAGAGGGCCAGCTTTATGTCTGGTGGTTGAGGCAGCCAGATTCCACATGACCAAACTTGTGGTTCAACTCTTAGATCCAGTGTCTTGAAAAACACACCAGGCACATGTGTGTGTGCCCAAACTTTCAAAAAGAGAGAGAGATAGAGGAGCAGGGATTACAGTATGACCATCCCCCTCAGAAGATGCTTTTTCCTCCTCCTCTGTCTCCATCTCTCTGTCCTCTGTCTCTCTCTAGAGAGCTGTCCAAAAAAGAAAGCTTTATAGAAAGTAAAGGCCCCGATGACTACTTCTGGCCCATCTTCAATTCTAAATGACAAAGACAAATTGGTATGTATTATTCTGAAAATCTGAAGAAAGTATGATTTGTGGTTTTGTGTGTTATATGTTGACTATCGAAGCTTAGGTTTAAACTTTCATTCCATCCTAAGTAACATTAAAAAGATATTTCTTCTTTTTTTTTTAGATTTTTGCTATAAGGAACATATGCTTGCTGGAGAGACAGAAAGCGAGAAATCACTCCCCAGGGGAATGGCCACAACATAATCCGTTGTCCTCCCTTCTCCTCTTGGAATTTTGGGCATGCACACATACGTGCCCAGTGTGAGTTTTAAGCCACCAGGTCCAAGACTTGAACTGTGATCAACTATGTGGGAGTCCTGCAGTGTAAGCATTATGCCTTCTGCTGGTCCCAATATTTGTTCTTCTTATGTTAAAAATGCTGCATTTGTGGTGGTAGATAAATATGCAAAAAATTACTTGTGATTCTAAACTCTTCTGCTCTTATAGGAAACAAAAATACAGAAAAGTTTTGTCTGGGTCTGCCTCGTAGCTTGTTAAGAACCGTCTGTGTTGTGTATATTGCAATAACTATTAATGGCATTAATGTGATAAAATAAATGTACTAACAAATTTTCCAAATTGCTCTTTGCCATGAAACAGTGTTTGACCTTAGCTGTTAAGCATGCGTATATCCAGGACTGAGGATGTGATTAGCTTATTAGCTTTCTCATTTCTCTAATTTCATCTATTCACACCATAATAACAGAACCCCTACGACTATCGCGAAATAGTGAAACATATTCTGCAAAATCCTTTGAAGAAGCAACTGTTTTGGTGAGAATATTCTCTTTGTTTCAGAAACAATATGATAGAGCCGTCAGTTGTGGTTGAAAATACAGGGAAGAAGAAATCATATAATGATTTTTTCCCTCTAAATTTATTCTTAATATAATTTCTGTGATGTAAAATGAATGCGTTTTGTTAAGTGAAAATAGGCAAACATTTTCATGTTAGCATAGCTAAACTGAACTGACAACTTGTTTAACCATAAATGACTGCCCAAGACCTAAAAGTACGCAGTGCTGAGGAGACCTGGAGCCATTTCTAAACTTAGGAGGTAGAATCAATCCACTTTGCTTGAGCAAATTCAGATATCGGTTTCCTAAAGATTATCACTTAGTTATGCAATTTTGTCTAACAATTGTGAGTCATGGTAACAAATGACAGACACATCAAAGGAGGGTATGTGCCATTTAGCAGTATAAATCTTTTTTCTACACCTTTATTGATTTTCTGCCACAAATAAATTTTTACCTATATTTGGCAAAAATATCCCTTTAGGATTAGTGATAGTTTGGGACCAAGCTAGAAAAAGACAAAACCACTTAAATCATTAAAAATAAAGACCCACAGCCGTGATCATGTGACATTCGCTGTGTGTTGACATCTGTTTGAATGGCAGGGTGCTCACCTGACGGCGGAAATCTGGTCCTCAACTTCATAGACACCCAGCTTTCGATACACTGCATACAGGACCTTGTCGCCTTGGAAAGCTGTTCCTCGGCCATCCACCAAGGCAATGACTATCCCTTCCTTACTTGCAAGATAAGATACCCAATTAACAGAAAATACAGATCTTACACTCTGACTGCAGGGACCACCATACCTAAAAGGAAAAAAGAAAAAGAAACTGATTGCTTTATAAAACTCAAACTTTCCCTTCTGGCCAAACTTTGCCTCTAGTAATTGCCAGTACAATTATGTGATAAAATAACAATGGCATTAGAACTGGCTTAAAATCAAGAGGAGACGAGGCTTTTCCCAGAGGTTTGCTACAAGGAAGTTGTTTTGGGACACAGCCTCTCCTATTCCCTAAAACGGATACATCTAGGGTTGGCATTTCAAGGAATATGTGTGGGTTTTTCGTCATTTCTGCCACCTGCCACTTGCTAAAAGCAGACATAAGATATACTAAAAAAAATGCATGGTGTTTTAAGCAAATTGTGTGTAGGTCAGCACTGATTTTGGGTGTGATTCCACTAAATGTATTCCATGCCTTTATTTCATTTCTAACTCAATTACATAAGACATTAAGATGATTTACAATATTTTTTTGGCTGCAATTTCTCTATCTCAAAGGTATTCTGACACATTCGGCAATTTGCCACACAAAGGAAATTCAACACAGCAAATGCAAGCAAGTCCATTTAAGATCTCAAAACTTCCTCAATCTATTTTAAATAGCCATATTTTATTTACTCTGATTAGTTGAAGAATATATAAAAACAGCATCAATAGGAACTGTTACCAAGGAGAATGGTTCATTCTATTTCATAAATGCGTATTTCATCCAACATATTTTCAGTAAATAGTTTTACACCAAAGAAAATATTACATACACTTGAATTAGCAAGGGATACTTCTTCGATCTGTCAAATTGAGGAGGGAGAATCATCTTGTACCATAAAGCTTTGAAAACAAAAAGAAAAGAAAAATCTTTATTCCCCCATACTGTGGCATCATTTTTAAAAAATATTAATATATGGAATAAAGACATCTCATAACTAGTAAATTTTTAAGGATTGAGAATATATTTTAAATTAATTTTATTACATATTTTTATGTCTGATTTATGCATGACTAGAAATTTTGAATTACTGTTTGTTCTAGAAGCATTCATTTTAAAATTAAAATTAGTTAAATTCTTTTCAAAATATGTCAGTGTTGAAAAGTGCTATGAGAAAATATGAGATTTATTGTATTCACAAAAGTATTTTAAAAATCTAGTAAAACTAAATATATTGCTGCAGTAAGACTGTTTTAAATAATATCCTGTAACATATACAGTTTGAACTGTAAGATTTACTTCATAATTTTTAAAGCAAGAAAAATACTCAGTATCATATCTATAAATGAAAAGTTTTAAAAAGATCTTACTTATTTCATCCACTTCAAGTTTCTTAATTTCTTCTTTAGGCAGCTGTATATTTTTCAAAGCATTTTCCAATTCCTTGTTTTCTTCCAAGATTTTAAGTTCTTTAAAAAAATACAACAATCTTCTTTAGTTAGTAGTATTTACATTTTAAAAAGTATTTATTGGGCTTGCCCCATAGAATAGTGGTTAAGTGCTACACAGTGAAAACCAGATCTTTACTTATTTTAAAGATTTATTTACTTCATTTTATTATCATCATCATCATTATTATTATTTTAAATTTGCACATGCCCTCACTTGAGAGAGAAGGAAAGTGAGAAAGCAAGTCGCCAGGTCCAGGACTCAAACCATGGTCAGCCATGTGGGAGTCCAGCACTTTAATCACCACAACATCTGCTAACTTAGAAACTGGATCTTACATGGCCAGCCAAGGTTAGATTCCCAGCCTTGGTGGCTTAATAAACATACCATGCACTAACTTATTTGCCAAGGATACTGACAGGATAGAGAATTCGAGGGAAAAGGTTGCAGTATGACCAGTCCACATTTTGGGGTGGTTTCTCTCTCTCTCCTCTCTCTCTTTTATTTCCTCTTTGTCTGTCTTCTTGTGTGTACATACTCTCTGGCATTAAAAATAATTGTTTCTTAATATTCCTTTGGATTTAATGCAAATGAAACTGAAACTTTCCAAGGCTTGCTTAAGTATTTTCATATTGACAAACTATTTTAAATCTAGTCTTTAGAGCAGATAAGAGTTTAGGAATGACATCACATTCCTATCATTGACTCCTAAATTGGTCTTTATGAGCCCCAAACATATTTTCAGGATAGTCACAAAAGTAACAATGTTTATTCAATCATATTTTCCTTTCTCCAACTGTTCTTTCTTCACTTCAAAGTTATGACCTAAGTGACATTTTTTATCATCTACTAAAAATAAAAAAATTGATAGAAATAAAATCAAGACTCATGAGTCTTCAAATTTAAACTAACTGTTCATATCACAACTGAATGAAAAAATGACCACTGCCAATCAGATGTGGTGGACTTTGTTGAAAATGACAAATAACCTCAATTTGACTGTTGCACACTGCATGCATACTTCCAAAATCCATGTTGTGCCCCACAGAAATGTACAACTTAATGTAATTAAGAAATTATAAAATAAAAATCATAATTGTATACTGCTCCTTCAAATCCTTTTTCTCAAAGTAGTTATGTATCTTAGTGAAACAACAATACATACACAAACCATGCTTTCTTTCTCTTATGCCTTAAAATATCTGAAAACTGATGTTTATGCTTGAAACTGAGTGAGTCCATTGGTCTCCTGAATGCTGTAGGTTGGTGCATCATGCAAAGAGGTTGCCAGCAATAACGGACTTCTAATGACCTTTGTTTTGAACTGGGATTAACACTAGCATCTTCTAGAGAAGAGTTAGTCTTTAACATACTATAAGGAGTTTGTAGTTTTGTTTTTTGAAACAGGGTCTGGATGACTTGTGAGATAATGGTGATTACTACAAAAGACATCCCATGGACTTCTTGTTTTTATGCCTTTTGAAAAAGTGATCCAGAAGATAGGGAACTGGAGGAGTACTTGTAATGACACTCAGTTTGCCAAACCATTTCTCTTATAACTCTCAGCTTTCATATACTCATGGCATTTTGCTCCAACATGTTATATTTAATCTCAGCACAAGTATAGATGTTTGGATATGATTTGTATAAGATACATAATAACTTTCACATTAACTTTGGGTAATCCATCAGGAAAGATATTTGTGACACCTTCAATGTTAAAACCAAAATAAATAAATAAATAAAATGAATACATATTCTAAATAAAATAGAGCTAATTTTTCATTCTCCATGTGTGTTTTCTGTATGTGGAGCTGTCACAGACAAAGGAGATCCTATGTGGAGCAAGCACTGGGAATAACGGATGGACGGACAAATGGATTACTATTTTTATTATCTTACCGCAAGGACTGAAGTCAGAGATGATATCAGGGATGATTACATTGTTGTGACTAATCTCCATTCTGTTCCTACCTGTCTCCCTCTTGCTAAATCCATTCATTTTGAGCAGGTCTTGCTTCACTCTCTGTAAGATTTGACACTGCTGAGGACTTCCCCCTTGAGATCCCCTGTGACTTCCATGACACTGTACTTTCAAGGTTTTCCCCCTTCCTTCTGTGCCCTCTCATTCTCCTTTAAAGGCTTGTCTTTCTTTTCCCATGTCTCAAGTGTTGGTGTTTCACACAATTTCACACTAGGTGCTCTCTCCATCAACTGTTCACTTTCATTTTCCCCGCTATGTTAATCTCATCCACTTCCAAGTCCTTAGTAGCCATGCAATCCATAAACTAATGACTTCATAATCATCGTCTTCAGATCTTCAATCCAAACAATCTCAAGTTTGATGTATACCCTTGAAAGCATTTTCAAACTCCCAATAAATAAAGTACTCTTCCTATCAGCTTTCACATTTTCTGTACCTGTCTTAGAAAATTTATCCCATTCTGGGACCAGCAGTTGGCATAATGACTGTGTCTCTGGACTTCCATGTAGTCGACCATGGTTCAAATCCCAGATCCAGTGTCTTAAACTCACACCAGATGCATGTGCGTGCATGCCCAAGATCTCAAGAGGAGAATGGAGGAGAAGGGATTGCAGAGTGGCTATACCCCCGGGGGGTGATTTCTTGCTTTCTATCTCTCTGTCTCTCTCTGTCTTTCTGGAAAGCGCACACACCCTATAGCAAAAACCTCTCCAAAAAATATAGGAAGAAAGAAAGAAAGAAAGAAAGAAAGGAAGGAAAGAAGAAAGAAAGAAGCAAAG